CGGTTATTTTTTTCTCGTCGGTCCGTTTCTCATCGAACCGTCCGTCCTAAACGGGCTTAAAATAGCATCTCAGCTACTAATCCATTAAACAAGCAAAAGCGGGTGTGCTAGATCCCTGTACAAAGGCGCCATCAGATAAAAATTATAGATATGCACAAGCAAAGCCTCAATGCGTGTAATTAAGATAAACAGCTATAAAACACTGCCCGTTTACTGCAATACGACGCAATGCAAATACCTTAACAATCCTTCCTTCTTCACGGAAACGTGCATCTACTTTTCACGTCTGGGGGGAAAAAAACAGAAAGTAGAGTAAAAGAGTCCAACAAGGGTCTAAAAGCATCAGGCTAAAAACAAAACCAAAATCTGCTGCACGATGATATCACCGTTATGTAGGAGGGCGTGCGCGGGTTGAAAAGAGGAAGAGAAAAAAAAAAGCGCGGGAAAAAGATGCAAGGGTATGGAAGCGATGACGACACTAGACATGAAAGATGGCCGGGGGGAAGAGGAGAAGGGTCTCTCGTTGATTTTCTTTTTTTTCCTGCAGGGAGCCATCTGGCTAGTTTGGTTGTTATATGGGATATGTGAATGTTTTGTTTTCTGACGCTGGTGATTTGCTTCCGATGGGTAAAATGAGAGACGTGAAGCTATTCCAGCGGGGAAGCCAAAAGAGACTGGGGTACTAGGTATAAGTGTCCACTAAGAGATGTCACTACCGCTATGATCTTCATCGTCTGATGCGATATATATCGCAAACATGATGGCTACGGCGAAGCGCGAATATCAGGCTTCAGAAGGGAAAACAAGAGCAAAAAGATCGTCATCGAAATTCGACCAAACGATGACACGGTGCGACAGTGCTGGAGGTTGTACCGATGGGCTTCGATCGACCAAGGCTGTAGCGCATGTGTGCTCGTTATCGGCATCTCGATGACAGACAGAAGAGGGGGGGCCATGTTTGATTTCGTGTAACCACCAGCCATGTGAATAATCCATCTGTCGATATTGATTCCTGCGGGCAGAAAAGGGGGGGGAGAGAAGGCGTCTTCACACTGGTTTGTGTTTTTTGTGTTCCATCAGCTCATAAAACCCATGCGCAGAGCTGAACAGAGCTGCTGCGCTTTGCAAGGCTCTGCATTGCAGCAAATAATAAGCAGCCGTGATGGTTCGGGGTTAGCAAACCCGTCTGGGGGTTTTGGAGCAAGGTTATCGCACGCAGAGGAGGCTGCCGCTGCTTATCGGCCAATAACAACCGGCAAACTTGTCGCTCCTTGGGTAAATCATTACTTGTACCATCAAGACGAGACAACTCAGCAGGGGTCCTCACCTCACCCCCGGGCTGCGGGCTGGACAGCAGCTGAGCGCGCGATGGAGCTGAAGGCGCTGCGTTTCGTTGCCCAGACCGCACGTCGAGGTCAGCAGCACTCACGATGTTGGCCTAGCGGCTCACAGGATTTCGCATTCAGCCTTGCTCGGACACGGAGTCTGGTTCCCAGGTCGTCGGTAATAGGCGATAACGCAAAGCCAGCGAGTTTACGAACAGGACCAGCTTCACGATCCTAGCAGTATAAGCGAATACTCGGTGTGCAGCTGCTTGACATGGAGACGGTCCCAATCCAGCCAAGCCCTGAGTCGTGCCATACATGGGCAAGTAGTACAAACACATACATTGTAATCCCCTCTCATGTTGAGGGAAGCCATCGTGAGAGAGCCGACGACGCGATGTGACGTGTATTGAGCCACCGAGGACCGCCAAGATGCGGGGGAGTTGCATATGGCTGCGACCCAAGGGGAACCGCGACAGAGAGAGATGCAGCATGCAATAATAGGGTCTGCTCCGAATACTACTCTATCCAGTTGGGGTTCAGTCGGGCTACCTACGTAGGTATGAAGTATACGCAGCCTGAAAGTGTAGTGCAGCCAAACTTGCTCTGCGACTTACATGCGCACTCCGCCCCATGACGCTACAATATGATGTGTGTACCTACTACTGTGCTTCTTGAAATAGCATTTCATAAATTACAAAGGTCTACGCAATGTATTCACTCCAACCCGAATCATCTTTTGACCTCAACCCACCGCGTCATATCCCTTCTCTTACTTCTCCCCGCAAATAAACGTCCTCTTACATCGATCACTGCCATCTCAGCCCCCCATGAACACGGCACGGCAATCAAGGGGGAGACAACAAGAGCGCCAAACTGCCATCGTCTTTGGATAAATGACTTTCTTCTAGACAAGCATTAAAAAGCGGCAATAGCCGTCCCCTGGGATATACCAAAAAAGATATAAGCCAGGATTGGGGGCATCTAAAAGGCGGTAGCGGGACGATCCTCCAGTTGGCTCTCACCCTTTTTTCTCTCTCAACCCCAGTTTGTATGAATGTAGGGCGTGCAGTGATATACGAGCTGATTCCTATTTGATGCTGCTGGCAAGAGATTATCGCCGTTATTACTGTAAACATGCCCCCCTATTGCGCGTACTATTTGATGATTGCATACAATGATACGCGCATCCCTTGCTTGCCATGCTATATACATGCACATGCTCGTCCATGTCTTATCACCTTCATATCATTAACCGACTCGCCTTGCTTCGTCATCCCCAGCCAATAAAACGCCCAGGGATCCCTCTTGCGCTACTCCATATTCAAGCTCTGTGGTTGATTTTGCTTCTTTGCCGCGCATAGCGCCCATAAAATCCCGGCCTCGCCATTGGCCATATTTAGCAAGTCAGCAGCCGAGAGTGGTCTAATGCGGAATTTGCAGCACAGCGCATTTGGCCTTGCCTTTTGATACGCTGCTGCTTGCTTCAAGTTAATGTACGAGCAGAGACTGGGGGGGTTCACATGACCTTAGGCATGCTCATTTTCCCCCAATCTGCAACCGCTCTCTGGCATGGAGATGCTGCCACTCAGCACAGGTGCCCTGTAGCCGCCCACTAATACACACGATGTTTGTGCAAAAGCACATGCAGCACAACTCAGAAGGACACGGTTCACTTTGGGTAGCAATCGTGAAGCATTCCCCATGTCTGCTCTCCCTTGCCTTTCTCGCTCTCAATGCCCAGACTCGATTTAGTGAGTCCAAAACCCTCCACCCCAGAGATCGCGTAATTCCCTGTCCATCCGTCCACCGCCGCATCCGAAAAAGACACGAAAGCGATCTCCGTCTTTGGTCTTAGTTTCAGGAACAAGCCTCGCTCGCTTGATCTCCAACCGAGACAGCGTTAAGAGGGAAACGATCATGCGATTCCTCGCGCCACGGTAGGAAGAAGAAGAAGAAAACGTCCTAAAGGGGGGGGGGGGGGGGGGGGGGGGGTAGCAAATCCTCCAAGCTTGGCAATTAAGCTGCCACCAAAAGTCTCCTCTACCTCTCCTCTCGTCAACAACGCCCTCTCTCCTCCGCTGTTCTCCATACTAGCACGATGCATGTCTCAATTATTCCTCGCATAAAATCTAGATTTCAGGCTCCTCTTTTGGGGGTCAAAAATACATGTTAGCTGATCCCCCGCTTTGCTCTGCGGGAAGCAGTCGACATCGCGACATCGCTGTAGCTGATATTTGCCAATTGATGTCTGCCGCTTACACGCCGACCATGGCTGCACCCTCTCTGCAAAGCGCTACTGCATCGGCCTAGACATTTTTGCAGAATGAGGCATGAGGCATCTCTTCTCAAGTGATACCCCCCCAAGAGGTGGAAAAAATGCCTCTCTCGTAGGACACGCAACGCACGCATGGTACGATGTAGAACCCACATGAGACAAAACGGCACGGAATGCAACTCCGATGCGGCCGTCTTCATATTAACTGGGCGGAAAGTGCAGTCGTCTGTAATGAATTGTGCATACACGTACAACAGAATTTGAGAGCCTCCTGTTGAGAGGAAAGCAGCCCGCTCCAATCTGCTTGCAGTATGGACGAAGCGGGAGGCAGCCATCCTAATCTGCTGTATAATAGAACTCGAAACAATTGCAGGGCCACAATGGCAGAACATCAAGTTCCACATATTAATTTTATTTTTTATGAATGAAATCCCAAAGTTGCATCGATTGCATCCACTCCCCCGCCAAATCTCTCTCCAGAATATCTGTTGTTTCTACTGTCCGGCGATCATTTAAGAGAAGAAAAAAAAGATATTCAGGAACAGAGAGCCCGCCAATCTCAACCCGCAATTTAGCCCCAGGCACGAAAAAAAAAAGTAGTCCGGTCCCTTTTTTTTACTTTCTAAACGGGCACCCAACGTGTATAGATCAGTCTCGCCACCCCACGGTTTCAGCCCTTCTCGAGTCAGAACAGGACAACTACAAGACTTACCAAGGCCTAGTTTATGAAGAATAGGAAAGTATCTACAGACATTTTTATTGGGGTTTCAAAGCATGGAGAAACACGCGGAGAGGGATTTTACTACTTGTGGAATTGATGTGGGATTTACATAGATTAGGGGCGTCACACATTGAAACTTTCAATCTACATGACTTTGTTTCGACTAACGATGCAATGCATAGTAACAACCTTCATACCTTGACTTTATTGTAAAAAGAAGTACCAGAAACTCCAAAATTCAACATCATTTGCATTTATTTAATGTTTCTATTCATAGCTAACCAAAACGCAGCACAGCCTCGTCTCACCCAAGCCATCGCACATGCATTAAATACCACCCTTCAGCTAGCCACTCGCATAAACCTACAAACCACGACACCACAAACTCCAAAAAATCTACATGCGCAAATGTGCAAATCAATGCTGATGCTTTTTTTTTTTTTTTTTTTTGCCACCGCACGCGCCTTGACAGATTTTCTAACTCGATCAATCCATAATTCAATCTCTTGCATCTAACATGACACCCATCCAGCAGGTGGTAGAATCACAGCGCCCTAAACAGAATGCACACTCCATCACCACCAAAGCCTCCCCCCCTTTTCCATAAATAGCCCAATCAAACCATCCCAACCTCATCATCAAAAAAGTAAAAAAAAAAAAACTACAACGAGAAAGAACCACGTAGCCTCGCATCACATAGCATTACATCGCAGCAAAAAGCAGCCAACACACCGCACAAATTTGAAAAAAAAAACGCCCATATACCCATTTACCTGCATGTGCATGCCCATCCCCCTGCCAAACAGCAAGTCCTATCAGATTTTTTTTTTTTTTCTGCCCATGCGCATGTATGTACGTGCACCCTGCATATATGTAGGCCTCGCAAACAAGTCACACCGCAGAATCAAACAACAGCCTTAATTTGTTTTTTTTTCTGCAAACATTGATGCCTTATACACCCCCCTCTTTCACTCATATATCAGAACAATTTAATATATATAAAAAAAAAACAGACATGTTATAGCAGCATGGGCCTCTCTCCCTGCAGCCTCGCGCAGTCAACGCTTTGCTCCATGAATCATTTGATACCTGCATACACATGCCTACCACTAATCCCTCCCGCAGCATCTAGTCCCTTATAATCCAATAAAGTTCATCACTTGCTTTTCAAATGTAAGACAACGGACGGCAGCCGCAGTACTTGATAAAAAAGACAAGAAGAAAAAAAGTGACAGAATCCAGAATGCGTCGCAAGTCATGGCCATGGCCAACCGCCCGCCCAGGCTTGGCCCCGGACCGGCCTTGGCCCCAAGACGGAGATGGTTAGGTAGCTGCAGTCCAATCTTCACAAAAACCATTCATACATTGCTTTATTCACAGCATAACAAATGACAAATAATCGATGCACAGAGTAATCATAATTTGTAGTCATGAGAAGATGATTTCGTATTCTAATACTAAATAGCATAGGCTTCGCAGGCCCAGATGGTATCACTATAAAACTAAAAAGAGATGATTCTCGCAGTCTATATCGCAGCGCACCAACGACAAAAAAAATAAAAGCATAATAAAGTGATAATAGTCAATGCACGCATTGCGATCTCGCGCAAGCGGAAGAAGTGAACAGAAGAAGAGGAAAAGAAAGAAAATATCCGTTTATCCCAGGCCCCTCTTTCAATTTCATCCCGTCGTCGTATATGCATCATGTCGGGGTCCCTCCCCTCTTGGCGCTCAGCGCCTGTAGTAGGTATGCAAGGAAATAAAAGAAAAAATAAACGTGTACACCAAGTAATGAAGACGTCAGTGGCTATGCCAAAGGAGCTCTGTAAGAAAAAAGAGCGAGCCAGAAATAGCGAGACCACGGTGCATGCCAAGGAACAGGAATTGGTCTGGTCCGCAAGGCTAGCCTCCGAATGGCGAGCGAGCGACGGAGCCCACTCGTGCCATTGTCGCTGATTCGGCATCTCTTTTTTTTTTCTTGCTCTCTTTTGCGTACAAGCAAGAGTCCAAGGCCCAGACCCCTGTCGCGCATAGGAACTGGTAGCCAAGCTATTCGTCACTTGCAGCTCGGCGCGGCCTAGCGGTATCCGTCTTTTCTGCCCCAAAAGTCGCCGTGCATAATTTAGCAAGATGGGGGTATCGTAAAAAGAACTTGTGCGGAACAAAGGAAGAAAAAAAAAAAACAAGCCAAAAATAAAACAAGTGGGCAAAAAAAAAAAAAGAACCAAATCATGGCCGTGATCGTCATTTCGTAGTCTTTGTTCGCATAGTGCCCCGAGGCTGTGGAGAACAAGAGAGGGAAGAGATCCCCCTCAGGTATCGTGGTTCCCAGTTCCCCAGACAGGTAAGCCCAGTTTCGCTTGCAAACGACCTGTCACAAAACACAGGGCCGGGTGCTCTGGCGAATCAGCGGCGCTCACCAGCATTGCCGAAATGCCGCAGCCTCCAATTGGAAGCCCTGTCTGCGGGCGACGTTGCGAGGGCGCCACTCACGGCTGGTGCATCGTGCTTGGCCAGTACTTGTAACAAGCGAAACAAGCGAAGGCAGTGCGGCACCGGCCAGGGCGAAAGGGCCATGCGCCTCGTACACTTTTCGGGTAGCACCGCATGTGAGTATGTAGATGCAGATGCACATGGCCCGGAACAGCCAAGAGAGGCATCAGGGTCCTGTGCTGTCCGGCGACAGCTCGGTGTGTGTGCGCGCAGTGTGGGCGATGGCTCACACTTGCTGTTGTTCCCTTCCATCAAAGGGATGCCAGACGCTGTGCCACTCACCCTCTGCCGTTTTGACGTCCCGTGCGGTCCTCAACGGCCGCTGCATTCCCGGGAAGCGCGCATCAGGCTATACCGCATAGAGTGCTGACAGTTTGAGCCGGCGCAGCGGGTGACGAATCCCATTATCTGGGCGCTCGCGGGGTTGGTTGCCGCGGGAGACATGGGTGCGACGGTGATGATCTTAGCATCAGCTCAGCACTGATTCCACGGGGTGTCCCAGGCAGCGGCCGCTTAGAGTGGTCAAGGCTTTTGATGGTCGGGATAGATCCGGATGCTTCTGCAAGGCTGTTGACAGGTTGTCGAGGAGATGACCAATGCAAAAGGGCGTCCGGCTAACCTCATCCCGCGATTGCCCCCCTAGCGATGCAAGTGAGAGCTCGAATTTGACAGATAGTATTTCCAGCTGGGATTCGAGGGAAGAGTGTGTGCAGTGGCTAATGGGTTCGCACGGCTGCGAAGAATGGTCGTTGCAAAAGGCTGCATGTGATGTGTCCGATGTCGTTTCTATGGTCCCAAAAAAAAAGGTGATGATTTCCGTCTATAATATGCCGTATATGCTCGCTTTCTCAAAATGGACGGGGTTAAAATACAGCGGGGAGAGGTGTGTTGCAGCGGCGTATTAGGTGAATTGCTGGCTGCGCGGTGTGTTGTGTGTGGAGAGAGATGGTGAGCAAGTGTCGCCATCTCGCCGTTTATTTGTATCCCACGATCTTGGCGCAGCGCTCGCAGTAGTAGAGGTTGTGGGAGATGCGCACCATGCCGGCTGTGCTTGCGTCGTCGGTCGTCGTCGTCTCAGCAGATCGAGCGCACCGCATGCAGCGCAGCACCAGCACGGAGGCGCTTGGTCGAGGAGAAGAGTCCATTCTGACTTGCGAGGAGGAGGAGATGACTGCAGCAGCGGGCATCTTCTGTGAGTTGCGTAGTGGTGAAAAAAAAAGAGGCTTAAGCTTGGATGGACTGTTCAGTTCAGGGCAGGCTAGAATTGCTGCAAACGTCGATGCGAAGAAGGGAGCCGTTGGTTATTTGTATCTTGTGTCCCTTGTCGTCTTGCGAGCCGGAGGAGTCGGCGGGGTGGCTTAAACTGCAGCTTGCAGGTGACGTGACTCGAGGCCAGGGCTGTGAATATGCAAAGCGGCAGGCGGTAAGCTGATGCTGTCGTGGAGGATGCGAACCAACAACGGCGGCGATGGTGCAGAATCGAGTCTTGGTCAATTCCGGAGATGTTTGGTCTGTCGATGGAGTTTGAGTCTTCTAGCAGGAGAGAAGTGGGAAGGAGAAAAAGAAGGTTTGGATGCAAACGGTTGATACTTGTACTAAGATGCGATGCAGAGGGAGGACGGGCCTTGGTTAAAGTAAAGGGGTGCGCAGAGAGCGGCAGGGCCACGACGAGGGCGTGCGCGGAGCAAAAAGGGTTCCAGCAAGGCAACAGAGAGGATCCACGGCAGGGCAGAGGGCGATCGACGATGGAGTGGTGATGACAAGGGCCTGAAGGGATCGGCTGAGGCCGCGAGTGCTGCTCGGGCGCCGGAGAAGCGACAGAGGACAGGAGCAGGCGGGTGCTGCGGGCGTGTGGATTCGGCATGTGCCTTGTGTGCCGTCGTTTCAGCGCCGCGCTATTCGAGGACATGCAAAAGACGTCAATGTGACTTTCTGTTGCGAGCCCGGCCTGCATGCAATACCGGCCAAGTCATTTCTTTCCAGCACGCCCGAGTCCATGACGCCCTTCAGCTCTCAGCCCTCAGCATTAATCCCATCGTCCCCTGGACACTTGCGCTTTGCCCGAGCGTTTACAGCTGGGCAACAGCCAGTACAAGGTTCCCGGGCTGTACGCAGCGTACAAGTATGAAGATAGGGGGGTGTTCAGCTGGAATACGGGATAAGTGCAAAGCAAGAAGGCTTAGCCAGTCCAGCCAGGGGACAGGGGGGCGTGCGCAGCTCAGCATAGCCGGGAAAACGGGCAGGGGAGCAGGGCGTATGCATTTCACAGCGTTTATGTGCATATGCAGGATACGAGGTTCCTCTTTGGCGCTGAGGGCCAGGAAATAATAAAAAAAAATCCAGAGCTTTCAGGGCGTTGTGCTAAGCTCGAAAGGCCACTTTTTTTGGGGGCGTGCGTGGGCGCTGGAACCCGGCCTGTCTGGCATTTTTCGACCAGATTGAAGCTTGGTCCACTATGAAGTTTTTTTTTTTTTTCTCTTGTTTGCCCGACGGTTTATAGATATGAGTAACAAGCAAATGAAGCCCATCTGATATTAATCTGGAACACATAACAGGGCACGTCGTATGCTTCGGGCTCGATGACTTGAGGATTCCCAAATTAATTATTCATTCATTTCACATTGATGAAAACTTTTTTCTTTCTTTTTTTTCCCATAGTGGATCTTTACAGGGGGCATGTTTGTCAAAGACAGCATCATGGACCAAAGAAAACAGGAAAGCAATCAAATAACTAGCAACCCGCATTGCAGCGTAACCGTCACCGTCCTTCGCCTCACTGGCCTTAGCCGCAGCCCAACGAAGCTTATCAGCCCATTCCCCAGCTGGTTGGCCAGACGAGCGCCGGGATTCGACAGCAGCCGCACGCCTTGCACACGCAAACGCCGATGGCCGTGACAGCTCCGACGAGGTTTCGACATTGTGCATGTCTCGAGCGTCTCTCAGCTGCCTACTGTACTGTACTGCAAGCTTCTGTCTCGCAGCCGGCCCCCAAGCCGTTCCGTTCTTGGCATCGTTCGAGGGCAAGCTGTCTGCGAGCCGTCCGGTCCGAGACTCTGTCGTTGGTAGCGTGCAGCGCAAAATCAACATCGGCCGGCTGCCTTGGTCTCATGGGTGGCTGTACCCTCACTCACACCACGAATGGCGGTCCGCCGTGCATGCGTGGCCGCGAAAAAGGACCAAGCTTGCTCTGAGAGAGGCGGTGATGCCAAAAAAAGAAACAGCACACCAGAAACAACAACAAATGCAACGAGCCGTGACGCCGGCCAAACCAACTAGGAATGCCAAGTGTCATGCAGAACTTGTGGTTGCTGTGCACGTTTCTAATTAGACGGAAGGGGGGAACGTGCATTTCATTCATGGCGCCCAAAAGGACTCAAGTTGAAACGCTCAAAAGCTTACGACGACGAGAAACATGCCAGCGAAGCTGCGAAGCTGAAGAAGCTCGTCCCACGGCTTGGTAGCCAGCCTCGAGCCCAGCCCAAAGCCAACCGGGGACATCCCAGACCGAAGGTGTGAATCAAGAGATGAGCTGCCTAATGCCTACCTGTTCGTCCTCCCAGGTAACCATAAACTCATCCCAACGTGCTCCGTGCACACAGAAACGCTGCCCAATGTTGTCTCGAAAGCTGTAAATGCGCCGCAATCAGCCACCATGCTAGGGAATGGCGCTGCATAGTTCCAAACTGTAATGGAGAAGATTTGTGCCCAAAGCCGCGCGTTTTTTTCACACTTGCAACAAACTAAAGAATGAGTAACAGAAATTCAAGTAAAGGCGCGGCCAACGGAGTCTAAACAGTCCGCCGAGGTGCAAGCCACAATAAAAAAACAGAGACAGCTTACTGGTGCTAAGATAACTAGCAACAACTTGGCATCGTACCTATCGTATGTAAGTAGTGAGTTGAGAGAGCATGAGAGTTCTGTTACAGGGACCAGTGGATCACAGATTGGAATTTTTTAAAGCTGAAAGAGGATCCCCCTGGAGGGCTGACGCGCAGCAGTTCTCGTGTGAGAATCTTCGGGTCGGACAGCCGTCCGATGACCCGGAGTTTTTCGCTCTTCACCATTTTTTTCTGGAGACTGCTTAAAGAAGCAAGAGAATTATGGAAATACGGCAGAAAAAGATCCATACACCCATTCAATCTCAAACCTGTCTGCTTCGTACTAACGTCGGGCACCCATATCGTGGCCCCCATCAATCCACAATCGGTTATCGGGAAACGAGAAGAGAGAGAGATTTATTTCCTGCATGAAAGAAACAAAACGCTAGAAGGAAACAAAAAAGTTCCAGAAGGAAGAAGAAAAAAAAAAGGAGCCCGCAGAATATAAATGAAAGGGGATATTGATGGAATGATAATAAGTGGTAGTCAGCCAGTAGCTGCCCCCTCTCTCCTATTCTTTCTTCTTACATGTGTACTTTGCAATCAAGCTGAGGCAGCGAATCGATGGCTAATGTAGCTACCAGGCTCCGTTATGTGGCCCAGCTGAAGCCTTTTCTCGTACGTTTTTCATTATTTTTTTTATCTCTCACTCTCGGAGAATAGAAACATCTATACGGACCCTCCGTAATTGGTCGTTTATTACCTCGCATTCTGTTTTAGGTGCGGTGTTTCGAGGCAAATGGGCATCCAGCCATTGGAATCTTGACAATGAAAAATGGACCCAGGGCGACGCCCAGCGTGTTTCAGATTGGCTTCGATGGCGCTAGGCTGGAAACAGTAGGGCATCGAAACGGGAAAATCATGCCTAACTGCATAAACACGCCTTGAAATTCACTTACCGGGACTGCGACCTGCAACCAGCAGCCTACTGCACAACTGGAATTAAAACATTGCGCCGATTCTTACATTCAAACCTCGAAGCCTAAGAAGGATGACTCATCCCCTTGCAATCTCATCTCCTCCCCCGCAAGGCGGTCTGATTCATCGCTGACTTTCGCCGATGGGATTGAAGATGCCCCCCCCCATGCCAGTTTGTCCTTTTGCAGTTGCAGGCTTACGCACATACCTGTAGGAGGAGCATGTATACGGTATTACTGAACGTGCAGGCTTGGCAACATACTACATACGAAGGAACACGACCCTTTGGCTGCCTCCATGGATCAAAGCAGCGCCTCCATGGGAACCAAGACGAACAATACGCAGCGCACTAGACATGGTCCTAGGAAATTCCCATTCAAATTTAATGCCAAGCAACGCACTGATTACTACAAGTAGTAGCAGAGCAGGGTGAAGCGAGGGTTGAAGCGGGCAAAGATCGATGGGCGCAAATACGGTCCCCCCCCTCGATCCCGCTGACAGCAAAAGGACCCTGGAAGAGGCAAGCAAGCAAAACCAAAAATATCTTTTCTTCCCCTTTCAAAAGCTATTCAGTTTGTTCCTTTGCCCCACGTCACCATGATTAAGAACCTATACAAAGCCAGATGCCCTGCTTGGAGAAGCGAGTTTCGTGCTTTAGTACCTGCAGAAGGACTCCGGTCGTCAGCCAGTTTCGCAGCCGGCGATTGGCCCTCAGGTATACAAGTATATGCAAGTATGGGTTCATTTGATGAGCTTGGCTTGGCTCCCCCTCATGCATGCAGCAGTGCCTTGTTTTCGTTGCTTGGTGCTGCTGGCATTTTTGCAGCCAGCCCAGCCAGTGAGGAATAGGAGATGCATGTCTTTTTGCCTCTCTCTCCAGCCCATCCAGTCAGCGCTCTCCGAATCCTTCTCTCTCCCTGCCTTTTACTTGTTCAAAACACATTTGCTCGTTGCTCATTCTCCTTTGCTGGCTAGCGCCATCGGCCGCTCCTTGATTTCCCTGCAAATCTCCGATCCTCAGCTTCCCCCTGGCACGAGGTTTGCCCAGCTTCCTTTTCCCAAAGCCTGTTTTCTTGTTTCCAATATGCAGCAAGCAAGTTTAAAATGGTGGCTGCGTGCGTGGGACAGGCCCAGAGTTAACGCCGTTCCAAGACATTAATTGATTACGGTGGGGGGCCTTCTCCTATGTCTCGGTTTGTTACGTTGGGGGGTGTTCGCCTCGCCACGTTTTTGAAGCTCCAGTTTTCATCTTACAAACCGTTTCATCCTGGACACACGCGGGAGACATTCCGTCCCTTCCAGGCATAACTCCTCGTCGTACGGCGTACGGCGTACAGCGTGCATACGAC